ATAGCTGGAGTACCTCGAAAGCCGAACGTCAGCCAGACAGATAGCGGCAAAATAGGGAACGGTAGATTTTACCCAGGCAGCTGCATAGGCAAGGGCTTTAAAGACGGACTTGTGTAAATTTTGTTGTTAAAGCCGCTCGTTCCCTGCTCCCGACCAACGTATAGCACCCAGTTTGTCCCAGGTTTCCGATATCCTTACTGGCTAGGTTCTTTTCCCGGCAATTGCCAGAAGTAAGCCGGATCATGAGTAGTGATATTATTCTCCAGATAATGGTTATGCTCACCATATCCTGAAGGAATTAAGGAGATATATTGAAGGTCTTTATCGTTGCTCCTATACCTGCTCTCAGTATTGAACTTGCTTCTATTAGTACATTGAATCCAATACAGGTTTTTAGCCATATAATAGTCAAGATACTATTCTTTGGTTCTTTCGGTTTCTTTGTTCAGCTTCAATGGCTGATTGTTCTTCAGACGTTCCCTTACTTCTTCGATACCCAGCATTTTGTTGTTCTCATCCATCACATATATACCATGGGAGGCATCCATCCACAGCCATTTTTTTAATGTTTCGGAATACACGCAGTTGATAACATGACAGTCGGGGTCTTTCTGATCTTTGGGCATACAGGTCACATAACGGGACTTGAATCCCATGGCAAGATACATTTCGTTAAGGGTCATTGCCTTGTGCCGGCAGTTAATTCCTTTGCCGGTAGCTTTGTGGTAATTATAAAAATCAATAGCATCAAACTCACATAAGGCCCAATTGGAGCCATCGTACTTAATACTTTTAGTAACGTACAACATGATGTTAATCATCTTTGATACTTCATCACCATTGCCTGCTACTGAATCCAGGTTGAAATACTTTTTAACCTCTTTAAGATTTTGATGTTCTGCATTTTGATATACAAAAGCAGGTAACGTTTTTTTGTCTTCCCCTATATAATTACCAGATTGCTGAAGAATATGGAGCATGTCAAACTGCTTTATCCGGCTCAGAGCAGCAACAAATTTCTTATCATTCCGGATATTGTCCAGGTCACTGTCCGTTTTTGCATGCTGGTATTCTGAATAGCCCCAGTCTATCGCTTTCCCAAAGTCATTGATTGCCTCCTGTTTTTTATTCAGTAGGGAATAGACACAAGCCAGGTTGTAATAGACATTGGCTTTAATCGTTTTAATGGTGGGCTGGAATTCTTTTTGTTCCTGCCCCGACAGCTTCAGGTCATCTGCAGCTATAATCATTTGCCTCAACATGGATTCTGCACGTATATGATCCTTGGCGAGATAATATTTCTGGTAATCATTTTCCAATATCTGGAACTTTGAGGTAAAGTCGTTCCATGCAGGAGCGTTTGTCTGACCGGATACCGTCAATGAAAGGAATAAACTTATCAAAAAAAAGAAGGTTGTTCTCATCATTCTGTTGTGTTCTATTTTTATTGCCCGCAAAATAACATTGATTCTATTGTAGAATCGTTTAAGTGAGTGAAATGTTACAGCTTGCACAACAAATTTTCAATATGTTTGAGGATCTAAGTAAAGATGAAATGAACAAGGTGTTTACCAATCCGTTTTATTGCCTTGCACAAATTGATGAAATTTTTGTTGTGGAGCATGCCCCCTGAAAGTGATTGGATAGCAGCGAATGTTAATCTTATAAAGAAAATGGGTAGTGAACAATGGCTGACGTTGTTACTGGATAACCTGAAAGGAAATTAGATAAGAAATACCGAAAGGGATAATTGATACGATTTCAAATTGTCTTGCAACAGGAATGTAGTATTTGTTACCTTTTTAGCAATCCCCCCAATATTCCATCCTTAACCTAAATGTTGTAGTATTATTGTAGTAAAGAAAAAAGCAGTTAAAAGTTTTATCTCGTAACTGCTTTATTTTGACCGTGGAACCGGGCGGGGAATTGTCGAACTTGCTTGTTGATAATTTATTGAAAATCAATGATTTTGTACAATCATATAATTTCATGTCGGTGTAGTCAAAACCGTTTAGCATAGTAGAGGGGAAGGCATTATATGCTTCCCATTTTTTTATGCTCAAATCTGAATTTTTACACGAAAAACATTGCCTTTACACATAATCAGCCTACTTCTTGAAAATTTTTTGCCGATGATTTAGTCCCCAATCTTTCATTGCGTAAATAATTGGTGTCAAGGTATCCGCATAACGCTCAAGATGGTAAGAAATCTTTACAGGGTAATCTTCGATAATCACCCTTTTAATCAATTCATGCTGCTCAAGGTCTTTAAGTTCTTTCGCCAATACTTTCGGTGTTAATCCGGGAATGCTTTCCTGAATGTCGGTAAATCGGCTGTTGCCAACCCCTACCGAAATAATGATAGGCAATTTCCATTTCCCATTTATCACCTCAAGCGTGTCCCTTACAGGTTTCACGGTATTCAGGCATTCGCAGTAAACTTTCTTTTTTGCCATAAACAGTACTGTAAATTGCTTTCCTTTAGGAAAGTACTATACAAAGGAAAGTCATTTTGTTTAATTTTGCAAACAGTCTATTTGAAATGTACATATTATGGAAGTGGATAAAAAGATGCTCATTGGACTACACCTCGGAAATGGGTACGGTTCTCAAGCGGGTGCGTGGCGTATGCGGGGAGTGGATCCTCAAAGCTATACGAGTTTTGATGCTCGTGTAAAACAAGCACAGGCTGCAGAGCGTGGCAAATTTCAGTTTATATTTTTGCCTGACGGCCCGGGTGCAGTAATAACGGATATTGCAACTGAATCTCCGGCTTTTAATCTTGATGTGATGATGACCTTGGCCGCCGTAGCAAGAGAAACCGAATATATAGGCTTAGTAGCTACTGGATCGACGACATTTAACGAGCCTTTCAACCTGGCGAGACAGTTCAAGGCTTTGGATGTTATGAGCCACGGAAGAGCTGGCTGGAATGCAATTACATCAAGCGGTGAAGATGTTGCTGCTAACTATGGAAGAAAAATTCCTTCAAGCCATGATAGATATGGTCGCGCACACGAGGTTATTCAACTAATCCAATCACTTTGGGGAAGCTGGGGCAAAAATGCCTGGGTGCATGATCAGGAAAGTGGGAAGTTTGCAAACAAAGATCAAATACTTCCTATTAATTTACAGGGCAAATTTGTCGGTTCACGAGGGCCACTTTATATTCCACCATCCGAACAGGGACAGCCAATCATTTTTCACGCAGGCGGTAGTCCCAATGCACACGAATTGGCAGGGCGCTTTGCTAATGTGGTAATTGGTGCCTCATTTAACATTGAAGATGCCCATGCCCAAAGGAATGCGTTTAGAGAAGCGGCAAAAAGTTATGGACGTGATCCTGACGAGATTAAATACATTCCTGGACTTAT